CTGGAGACAGTAATACATGCATTCATTACATCTAGGCTTGATTACTGCAATTCACTCCTGTTTGGTATCAGTCAGACCTCCATTGCACGACTACAAGTGGTCCAGAATGCAGCAGCCCGATTTTTAACCAGTACAGGCAAAAGAGAGCACATCACACCAGTTTTGGCCTCACTGCACTGGTTACCGGTTCACCTTCAAATCCAGTTCAAAATACTCCTGTATGTCTACAAATCGCTGAACAGTTTCGCCCCCCGCCAGCTCTCTGATCTGCTACAACCGTATGTCCCACCATGTTCCTTGAGGTCAGTGGACCAATTGCTCCTCACAGTTCCTGGAACTCATCTTAAGCGCAGAGGTGACAGGGCCTTCTCTGTAGCAGGACCAAGACTTTGGAACGAGTTACCTCTGCTTGTCAGACTGCCCCCCCCCCCCCCCCCGGTTTTCAAATCCCATTTAAAAACCCACTACTATTCAGTAACTTTCAACACGAGAGGATCTGTGTTTTGAACCTGTACGCTCCACACTGGTTTGTCGTCATATTTATTATCTGCATCGTTTTATGTCTATTTTTGACTTACTTCATTTTGTATATTGCTTCGTGTGTCGTCTGTTGGTCTGTCTGTACAGCACTTTGGTTGACCTTGTAGCTGTTTTAAGTGCTCTAAAAATGGTATGGTATGGTAAAATATGCAAAAAATACAGCTGAACGTTAAAAGGTAAAGAATGGTAGCTGAATGGTAAAAGTAGCCGATCAGTAGCTAAGAACAGCTACAAAAACAGTAAGTATGCTTAAGTGGATTTCCAATAGAACAATGTTTTGGAAGAATATAATAAAAGTTAATCTATTTCTACGCTGACTTTTAATGTAAATAAATGTAATCGCACCTTATTCCTGTTTGAGCTAAATGTTTTGATAGACTATTAAATTAGCTCAAAGTATGTTGATTGTAAAAACTTAGGGAAACACTAAACAGGACCCATTAGTGTGAATGCTGACTTGTTGGGATGGATGGATGGATGGATGGATGGATGGATGGATGGATGGATGGATGGATGGATG